CCCCTCCTCCTCCCTCCTTGCCCCCTCCTTCCCCCCCGTCCGGCCCTCCCCCTCTCGCAATCTCCCTGGAATTCAAGGATAGATCAAGGCACGGGCCAAAGCGTTCGTCGCGGCCGGGGTCGGGGTCGGGGTCCGGGTCGGGATCGGGATCGACCGAGTCTCAGACACAAGAATGGGATCTCCATCGCCGACCTCAATCGCCATCGCGCCAAAAACGATGAGTGAAGGGGGTAGGGATGGCAGCAGCAGCGGCAGCAGCGAGGGGGGTCTCAAGTCGGGACAGGAATCTGGATCTCTATCCAGGTGTTGCTGTTCCTTATCCGGTTGTACAAGATTGTTTTGCGTGGTTGGAATGCTCTCCACGAGAAGGGGGAAAATCATTCCCGCCAAAAGTCTTCCCGCCAAAATTATTCCCGCCAAAACACCACCGTCGCCATTGCCGCCCCCACTTCCCATCAGTCAGCGTTGTTCACAGACCGCCGGCCTCGAACCCCTCACCACCTCTTGCTCCTCTTTCTCCCCCTCCTCCTCCTCTTTCTCCCAATCCTCCTCCTCCTGCGCCTCCTCCTCCTCCTCCTCCTCCTCGGCTACCACCTGCTGGATGCCCCAACTTCAACAGCGAAGGCCGCCTCCGGAAGTCGACACCGCCCCAGGCGGCGACGATGACGGCTCGGATCGCCAAGGTCGGGATCGGGATCTCGGATGCTGCTACGGTTGCCGCACTTGCCACGGTGTTGGAAGCACCACCTCGGCAGGCGCTCTATCCATTGGCAATTTGAGGGATGGACACGTGGCTGCTGCTCCAGATCAAGGAAAGAAGTCAGCGGCCAGGGCTGACTTGGGCGTTGACCAAGGAGGGGCGGGGAGCGCGGGGCGGCCCATCTTATTGAAAGAGGGACTAGGAGGAGGAGGAGGAGGAGGAGGAGGAGGGGAAGGGGATAGGGATCTGGGTGGGTCGGCGGAACACGGTGCCTGTGCCTTTGACAGGGCCATCAACCCCGATCCCGACATCCACGTGTGCAGAGTGAACGACATCTGTATCCCGTCCTCCACGGTGTGTTTCCTGAATCAAGAGAGTCGCCAGGCTGGCCCTTACACTAACAGCAAGGAGGGAGAAGGGGCACAGAGGGGGGTGGTCGGGAGTGTAGGGGAATGCTCTTATACACATCTAGATGTGTATAAGAGACAGACGCAGGACAGGTCAACCATAGATGCCGAGAGTCC